ATCTCTATTTTAAGTGTTATTCTAAATTAATTTTTTCTTTAACAATTTAAACATAAATATAATTTTTAACTTCTTATTTGGGTTCAAAATAAGGAAATAGTAAGCAATTCTTTATTAATTTAAAATCATATTATTGATTTATTATGACAATAATTATTGTCGTGGATGATGCTGAAACATGGGGTATCAATTTAGAAATATAAATCCTACTAAATTCCACCTATACCTTTTTATTATAACCACTAGCGCCTAAACCCTAACTTAATTACAAAAAAAAAAGCTAAAAAAACATCCACCAAAAATTTTAAAATTTCATATTAAAATAAGTTAATGTTCCAGCATCATCTTGTTTCAGCATCGTTCCCGACAATCATTATCAAAGTTGGTATGGACCAGTCATTAGCAATATTGATCGGACAAATTTAATGTGATCTAATTATTTTATATAAATTGATCAATATTTACTGCTGCATTACAATATAATATAATACCTTACTTATATAGTATTATACAGTATTATTTCAGTATTTTAAAACATAAGTAAAACCATCGATATGAGAAATATTTACTTTTTGATAAATTTATTGATAATTATTTTAACCTTAAAAAATCAACTGGCGATTCATGCTTATAAGGAACCTTTGGCAGAATTATGGGGAGTAGATGAAGCTGAACTACCCGGGTTGATAAATATTGAGAAGAATTTATCTGCAGTAGATAAAATTTTAAAACCATTACTGAATATCACAAGTTTTTGTGGAACTTACGTTGATGTAATAAAGAACAAATTAATTATTTATACAGCAGACTTATCTAAGGTCGAACTATTTAAATCATTACCCGACGTAAAGCCATACGAAAATCTTTTATCATTTATAAAAGTAAACAATTCCGAAGCTAATTTAGCAATAAAATATAAACAACTAGAAGGAATAGTTAATGAGACTAAACCATTCCGTGTACAATTTTATCTTGATGTAAGACGTAATAATATCGTTTTAGAGACATTCATCACAGACCGAAGGAGAAATGAAAATTTTTTACAAGAAATTGAGCCATTAAAGCTGATTGTAATTTTTCTAAGAAAACCTGGTCAAAGTCAGAATCTCATAAAAAGACAGCAGATAGTTCCAAAGATATTACTTGGAGAAAATATATATGATCAAAATACAAACAAGGAATGTACAATAGGTTTTTTCGCAAAAAATAAAACAAATCCAAATCTAACTTACATAGTCACTGCAGGACATTTCACTGATCCGGGCAATCAAATTTCTTATGACGAAAAAGTAATTGGTAGTACGGATTTTGCCGAACTATACCCATTCGATTTTGGAGTGATCAGAATAACAGATAATAAAGTCGAACCAACAGCCATTATAAAGAATACAGATTCACATATACATAATGAATTATTTATCAAAGATGTTACAGATGTCTATAAACTTAGTAATGGTGTTCATTTATGCAAGTCTGGCGTCAAATCACGAGTTACCTGTGGGCGCGTAATATCAACATATTTGCGTCAATTAACTAAATTTAATGACGATGGTCAGATTTTTATAAGAACTTTGTTCTTGGTGGAAGACATGTTAACTCAGCCGGGTGATAGTGGTGCGCCCATCTTTTTTTATTCATCGGATTTGCGCACGGTGAGTCTAGCTGGCATACTCATTGGAAGTCATAACTATACTGGAAGATACAAATTATATGGTGTATCAGTATCAGAAATTCTTAAACGTGGTAATATAGATCTTATAACTTTTACTGATAATTAAAATTTTTAACAAATTGAATGAAACAAATATGAATATTTCGCGTCACTTTTCAATTTATGTAGATAATCCTTCACCGATTAATGTCTTAATACAAATCACGAGACTTAATGTAATAGACTACTCATATTATTAATTGTCGGGGATGATGCTGAAACATTGACTTATTTTAATATGAAATTTTAAATTTTTGGGGGAATGTTTTTTTTTTTGGCTTTTTTTTTGTAGTTAAGTTAGGGTGTTTATAATAAACAAATATAGGTGGATTTTAGTAGGGTTTATATTCCTAAATTGAGACCCCCGCGTTTCAGCATCATCTTGTTTCAGCATCATCCCCGGCATTAATTACGCATCGGTATTAATTGATGATGATAACGATGATTACGTTGATATTTATAATAAAGTTAAATGAAGATAATAAATTTAAGCAGTTACATATTGCTTTTTTTTTTCTTATTCTGCTTGAATTGATACTTTCACTGTAGTTGAATCGAAATTTTACGCTGTGCATTAGGTTACACAAAGGTGAAAGATGATTGTTCGTTTTGCATTACATGGCATTCGAAATTTCGATCGGGTGGTTGGGGTTTTTTATTTTTTTTTGTTATTACAGCTATTTTCATAATTTTGAATATCTGATAAAAATTAACTGAATGATTTTTGCGATTTTCGGTATAATAGAATAAATTGTGTGGCAATGTGACCTGGTCGCACTTACCGAAAACGTGATCCAAGCCATATGACTCGGAACCATTGAACCTAGCTGCCGCACCAAAATTTCACGGAATTCCTTGATTTTGATTGGCTAACGGCCGTTGTCTACAAAATTTTGGCCCGCATTACATAATTGTTTACATGATTTTTGGCCGGAATTAACTTTTTAACTTTTTCATTCCC